AGAGCTCGGAAAATCTTGGGTTACGCAGCACATCATTGGAACCGATCGTTTCTTACTATGCACGTATAATGCCGGAACACTCTCCACAGACGCCGATCTTCACGCCCTCGTCGTAGCCGCAGATCGCATTAAATTTCATGTGATCGCATTACAAGAAACAAAAACCAAGAAGACCGACATACGCCAACCAAACAACGGGACCCTTCTGATCCGTGGAGAAAAGGTTCTGTCCCGAAATGTCAGTGACGTAGGCTTTTTCGTCCGCCCGTCCATTGTCCATCTTGTCAACTCATACGTGATCCTTTCCCCTCGCATAGCAGTTCTCCGCCTTCAACTGTCGCATCATAAGAAGATCACTATCATCAACTGCTACTCACCGACCGACGCAGCTGATGAGTACGAATTAAATGCGTTCTATTATCAGTTGGAAGAAGCCATCCGCAATGATAAAGCATATCGTAAATTTGTTGTTGGAGACTTCAACGCCAGAATAGGAAAGGCCAACGATAGCGGATACAGGATCGGAAATTTTGGATTAGGAGAAGGAAATAAAAAGGAGAACCGTTTCGCAGGACTCCTGTCAGCAGCACGTCTCTTCCATGAAAACTCGTTTTTCCAGAAGAAAGAAAGCCACCGCTGGACATGGGAGTCTTCCAATGGCATGGCTCATGCAGAGATCGATCATATTCCGACAAACAGAAGATAGCGCCTACTTGACACATCGGTAGTCTCGTCATTCTTCACTGGTTCTGATCACCGCCTTGTTCGCGCGAAGATTCGATTCAGCCGCAAGCTGGAAATGAACTCTCTTCATCGATCACGAGGAAAAAGTCTAGTTGTATACGAGGAGAACATTCTAAACAAAGTCCTGTCCAAATGTGATTGGCAGATTAAAGAAGACCCGACCGAAGACTACGAGCTGCTTGTCGAACGACTAAAAAGCTGTGCCGAATTCGCCTCAGTTCCTCAAGAAAGAAGATCGGATCGCATCTCCATCACTGCTAAGGAGTTGCTCGAAAAAGGAAGGAAACTGAAGCTTGATCCTACTGCAACACGTTTAACATGCCTACTAATAAATGGCAACTGCAGAAGAGCTTTGCAGGAAGATCTACAACGGTACAACCAAAGGAAAATACCGGAAGAAACAGAGAAAAGAAGCAGTCTGAAAAAATGCCATCGGGACTTGTGCCATTATAACGTTCCGTTGTCAGCCCTGATGAACGAAGATGGGATCGTCAAAACTTCCCGCCATGATGTGGAATTAATAGCGGAAACGTTCCACATCAACCTTTTCCGTTCCACAATCCCCGTCTCGGGCTCTAATATCCCCGCTGGAAAAAAAACCACCTGGAATTTTTCCGTCGGAGGTTCGAGTTGCGATAGAAACCATGAAAAGAGACACACCTCCAGGACCTCCAGGACCCGTTAACATCACTGCCGATTTCCTTAGAGCGGGGGGCCACAATTTACACGTACTTCTCGGAAATCACATATTAGGCTACTTTGAAAAGGACAAAATCCCAGACCAGTGGAGGACGTCGCGCACGGTCATCCTGCCCAAGAAAGGAGACCGAAGGAATCTTCGCAACTATCGTCCCATATGCTTGTTAAGTGTACTCTACTCTAGTGTACTCTGTGTTAAGTTAAGTGATTATTCTTTCGCGCATATCAGGGACATTGGATGAGGCGCAACCAATCGAGCAAGCAGGATTTCGAAAAGTATTTTGCTGCATGAACCACATCCAAACCGTGTCCAGGGTCATCGAAGTTTGTCGGGAATACCACTCGCATCTAGTCCTAACCTTTGTCGACTATGAAAAAGCGTTTGACAGTGTCGAAACGAATGAAATCCTATCAGTGCTCGTCAACCATAGAGTGGACTCGTCCTCTCTGTCCGACTGGTATCGGAACTGCACTACGAAAACACAGCTTTTCCACCGGCCTCTTACAATACCCGCAGGAAAAGGGGTTCGGCAGTACGACACAATATCGTCAAAGCTGTTCAGTGTCGCACCGCAGTGGATAATGCAGACACTCGATTGGGATGAGAAAAGCATACATATTGATGGAATATTCCTATCAAACCTCTGTCTCGCCGATGATCATCTTCTCAAGAAGTAGGAGCAAAGCAGAGACGATGATCAACGTGCTCAACGAGGCGGGGAAAAAGATCGGGCCTTGCATAAATCGAAAGAAGATCCAGTTCATGAAAAAACCATGGTGCGAAGGCAAAAAAAATGAATTGGATGGCTCTTTCATTGCAAAGACCACCTCGCACGTTTACCTTGGGCGATCAATGAACATGGAAAATAACATAAAGGAGGAACTAGATAGAAGAAAGAGAGCAGTTTGGGTCCAATTCGGGTCTCTCAAAGAAGGCACCGACCATGTGAAGGACCCGAAAATCCGCGCTCTTCTCTTTGATTCTACGGCCCTACCAGCGCTCTGTTATGTTGCAGAGACGTGGGTTGATACTTCAACCACGTCGAGAATGCTTCGAACTATTCACAGAGCGCTTGAGCGACGTCTTCTGAAATATAACCGGCACTCTCAATAGCTAGCCGAAATGCGGAGCTCTAACCTTCGAAATCTGCCACATCTTTGAGATCCAGAGGAATATATATCGACAGCGAAACATAAAAGGGCCGGTCACATAATGAGAAGAACAGACGACAGATGGACGAAAAGAACAGTAGAGTGGACTCCAAGAGAATGCAAACGTCCCCTTGGACGACCACTAGACGTTGGGCGGACGTGTTCGTAAACAAAATTAATCAGCTGTACCCTCAGCAGCAGTTGTTTTACAGATCACGGTATGAGACTCGCAAGCGCTACCATGCTCGAACAAGACCATTGCCATAGACTACGATTGCGATGGAAAGGAACGAACGGCATATGTGCTGGGGTCCGCACAGCTCGTGAAGACGGACCGTCCAAGTATCCAAGTAAGTAATATATTCGTGGTAGTAATGTGTTTATAACATTCTACTTCTTGTATGGAACATGGAGTTGAGTAATCTGGAAAAGAAGGATAAGGCAACTTCTTGCCTCCATGAAAGAATACTTGATATGGGAGCAATAAATCGCAACACTTAAACGCAAAACAGGCATGCAATAAGTACAGTGCCATAAAGTACGTCGTAATGAATCTTAGGATATAATCAAAGAAAACAAGAAGGCCAATCCCAAGAACTCTGGTAATGTTTTGAATCAATCTTAAAGTTCGTACAAAAAACAAGTGCATGGCTTAATTATGAATGGGATAAAGGATAAAACTCTTGGCGTTGATCAATCTCCGAGGAATGCGCTATGCATTCGACTTCATTAAGCATCACTGGAAGTGACTGAATCCACATCAGGCATTTACAATGACTCTCAGTGGCTTAACAATGCATAGGGACAGTGCTGCTATCCTTCCAGACAACACTGGCACCAATCTTCCAACCGCGGATGGATGGAAGGCCTGACGGGCTTGAGGAACGGGGATCGATCCCATTTGTATCGCAAAGCGCCTCCGACCACTACGTTACACGAGCTCCTTATGAATGGAATACTCCTGATAAAATGCTGTAGCATTTACAACACCTCATCGATAAGATTAACAACAAATTTTCCATGACTTCTTGTTATTGTGAAAGTTTATGTATCTAATCGAGACCTAGCCTTCATTATAAAATCGAGAAACTACTGGAGAGAAAATTTCAACTGACATATTTCCAGTGCCGACTTTCATTAATTCTTGGCTTAGATAAATGTTATCCTACTGTATTGACAAGTTTGTATGAAGTTATTAATAAACTTTACTGTAGATAACATTTCGACGTCGTCACCACCTTCACAGCCGCAATGATTCGAACCGAATGTCAGCGCTACTGCTAAAAGTGGAAGCAAGAACGGCCCCAGATAAAAATACGCGTCTAGGTGAAGTCAGCTCGTTTATTATGTGGTGTTGCACTCCACTCGAACCGATGCAGCTATAAAGATCCAAATAGTAAGAAGTAACTGCTGTACACACTCGATTTGAGCCATTACGGGCTAGAAAGACGGTAATAGCAGCGAAACAACCGCAGTAGAGTTTTCTAACAATCTCGTGTAATCCTTTTAAATCAAGATAACAATTGACGTAGTTCTTCCAGTCCCCAAAAAATTTTCCTTCTGTTCTTGTTGCAAAACTATGATTTAATTGATATGATTACCATATACGTAATTGAAAAGAATCAGCTCCAATGTGATGATCAGGCAAGCTGCAGCTGTTCCACAAAACTCGTCGTATATAGTGAACCAGTAAAATCCACTCTGAAAAATCAAAAAAGGAAGTCAGTGTCAAGATGATTTTTTTAGAATATATCAATTTGTTCTAAAGAAACTAGTTCTAAAGATTGGAAAGTGCTTAGAGATGTCAAATGGCATGTTTGATTTGAATGCAGTATCATTTCGAGTTAGCTGTGCGTCATACCTCTGTGGCAAAAGGAAGAGAAAGAAGAACCATAACAATCGAACTGAGCATTGCAACAAACCATTTGCATCTTCTAGTGCGAGGAAACTGATCATAGACACATGTGAAGAAACATTCACATAACCCTAAATTTAGTTGTATCATACTTAATATTTATTTTACGCCTTCAGATCTACTGCCCAGATCCAGGCGCTTTTTGCATTCGATTCGTTTCCTTGCATCCATTATCCACTATGATATTCGAACTTTTCGCTGGTGCGTTCAGCTGTAGCTTAAGGATTTTCATTTCGTCGGTCATTGAATCCTGGTAGAGTTGTTTTTCTCTGGAGTCCTGAAGTAGTAGGGCTAAAGCGTCCTCTATTGGAGTGCAGAGGGTGACCTTTCCCCAGACAAGTCTGGTACCAATTTCCTAACCCTGGAAAGATGCTTGGTGGGCCCGTGGTGGGTTCGAACCACCATCGTGCTCGTGATGATCGGCATCTCTACTCTTGTACACCTACCCCTTGTTGTATGATATTGTTTCAAATATTCAGTAAATTGGTTCTCACCTGCTAATGAGCTTAGACCAAGACAGAAGAGCATTGAAAAGAAGAGTACGCCCCATATTCTTGGATACGGCATTTTTCCCATCGCTTCTGGATAGGCAACGAAGACCAACGGCAACCCTGAATATGAATTCATTAAAATATGTTGCAATTTCCCAATCATCCGGTAGTTTACCTTCCTTTCGTACAAAAAACATTTTCGTCGATATGATCCCATCCCAATGATTCCAAATCCTAGTACGTTTCAAACATTTCTCATTTACAATAATGCTGAGATATTTGCAAAACTCGGACCGCAATCCACTTTCGAAGCCGCGATTACCTTTTCCGGGGGCTTACGTGCACTGCGCTCACTAGGCTCTTACTTTGCTATTTTTTAAGCCAGTTTTTCCTTACCCGAACGGTGCTTTCAAAATCACCCATTGAGGAAGGTTGCCTGGGAAGTACAAATACGCATTGAACCTAGTTAACCTGAAGCTGTAACAAAGGTCACAATGCTTAACTTTCTATCCACTGTTGACGAGTGATTTCTGATGGGACCACTAGGGTAAAAAATTAGCCGATAGAGAGGCAAAGCAAGTGATGGTGGAGTGAGCAGTATATGAGCCTCCTGGAAGGGTAATCGCGGATTCGAATGTGGGTTAGGCCCCAAGTTTTGCAAAATCGCAGCATCGCTGGTTTTGTTTCACATAGCAGAATGACATGTAATATGGTGACCCAGTAGTACCCTTAGTACCTTTCCGTGCATGTGGAATGTCAGATTTGACCTTAACCACTATGATCAGTCGCCTTTCGCATTTTTTTTTTCAAAATGCAAAGCACAACACCGCGTGTGATTTCTTTTCCATATTCACAACAAATATCTAGAGTTATACTTAACTAACTTCCCAAGAGTTGACCGCATCATCGTGGCTGGGAGGTGTAGCTGGGAGTCGGGCTGCTATGTACGCTGGGACGATTCGTCCCCCAGTATGGTCTCCCAAGCCTAGTCCGGCATTTCCATCAGGATGCCCAACTAAGAGCGAGTCAATACGAGGCTCCACTACCGTCTTGTTACCAAATTAGTCGCGTGGTGGCGAATCTCTCTCTGATGCACAAGCGCTGCGACTGCCTGTGGGTGGTGACGACCTGGGGCAGACTTTGGCTTGGCTGACATCGGAACTCCAGGAAACCACAATGGCTAAGCCAGCAAATTTCCGAAAAAATGGAGGTTATGGTGAAGCAAGCTCCCACAAGCATCCAGGTATCCAGGTATAACTTTTTTATTTACTGCCTATTACAATTTTTCACGCCAAGGTATTATGTGTGATACGACCACAATGATGCTGAGAAATTTGCAAAACTCCGGACCGCATGTGTCTGCGGTGAGGAACGAAAGCGCTATTACACTTTTCAAGGGTTGTTTAATAATCGAACAAGGATTGGCCGCTTTTGCCGAGGCTCAATGAGAGCCGAAATGAAAACTGAAAAATATCACTTCGTCGTGTTATTTGATGTACCACTGACTGCTTCAGGATCCATTACCACCATGAAAACAGACAAAAATGGGCGGCAATAGATGAACAACCGCCTTATATAAAAGGGCCTCGTCAGAGGGGGAGAAGGGAGGGGGATAAACATCATTTGAGCAGTGCTCCACTTCAGGTTCAACTCGACGCGACCACGAGGACCAACATCGAACGGGCGAACGGATTTAGGCGATCGACTCGAATCATACCGGCGCTAAAGAAGACGAAGGTGCCCGAAAAGTAGGCGAGTAGAATTTCCACAGTAGCCCAATTTTAACTCAATAATCTAGGAAAATGCTGATTAAGAAACCTTGCACTTTTTTAGGAAAGAAGGGTACGTTAGTAAAGCCTAGTATGAACTAAAATATAGTCATTTGAAGGGGTAAAGCTAATTTGTTTCAGGCATCTGCTCATTATTCTGAACGTATTAATATAGCTCGTATAGAACTATAGAATTATAGCTCATAGCAATTTCATGCGCAATTTAGCTAGTCATTTTTATTAACAAGATGAAAAAACTGATGAGTCAAATTCTGAGGCATGTTTGCAGTTACCTTGGCTTAGTGTATCACAGTGATTAAAGGTATTCTGAAATTCACATTTGGTTGCCGGCACCTTGCCAATCGAGCCGGCGAAATATTCATTCAGTCACTTCTATGCTGTTTGATTCGTGGCGCATTCCTCAGGAATGGATCAAGCCAACGGTTCTAATCTTTCCACCTGGTTCTTGGTATCTGATGAGGTTGAAAAAAGCTAACCACTCGACACGACGGCGTTTATCGGTTTGTGCAGTTGCTGTGACAAGTATCCAAGTGTGGCAAACACAGTTATTCCAGCCATGAGACTCATGAAAACATTACCAACTACCACAATCCACGCGCTCTGAAACGAAACCGCTGTTTGTTTTACGTCGGATGACATTCGCAGGAAAATGGATGTGTAAGAATTTGCAATATCTTTACAAACAGATTGAAAACGCAAAAGACCACCCTACTTTTTTTGTTAATTTTCTACAAATAAATAATGACATTATGAAGGGACACGAGGAATACAGTCTTGCTACTTGATACTTGAACGGCTCGCTATCACTAGCTGTGCGGGCCCCAGCATAATCACCATATTTGTAGAGAGTTGCTGGTTAACCCATTGTGGTTTCCTGGAATCCCGAGAACAACCTGGCCAAAGTCTGCTCCAGGTCGTCACCACGGCAGACAGTCGCAGCCCTTGTAGATCAGAGGGAGATTTATCACCATGTGACTTTGATACCAAGACGGTGGTGGATCCTGGTATTGGTTTACTCTTAGCTAGGCTTCTTGATGGAAACGCCGGACTCCTTCTCAGCTTGGGAGACCCTGCCAGGGAGACGAGTCTCCCGCTGTACATCGCAGTCCGGCACCCGGAAACACCTCCGAGCCACGACGAGGCGCTAAACCGTTAAGAGGAGACTACAGTCAAATGTGACTTTTCAAAAGGGTGTTCCTTCTACCGTGATAGAATGTTTTGTGGCTAGAAATGCGATCTGATGCTTTAGCCTGATCCTCTCTCAGAGATATCTAGATTGAGCATTATGATATCCTATCAGGAACCCCTGGTTGGAGCAAATCTACGAGCGATGACCTATAAAATATCCACAGTCTTTCGTGAGCGTTCAGAAAAAAGTCTTTAATGAGCAGGATATTAGTCCATGGTAACTGTACTGAAAATTATTCATACGACTCATGAAGATGGTTTTTCCAAGTAGCCAAATGAGGTTCACGGCTATAAGGCAAACCAGACAGTGTGTGGTGTTCGCACTAGCGTAATTAAAATCAGGCACATTTTCGGGATGAAGTTGGCATTTTGTTAGTTATTCCAAAACGTAAAGGTGAACCACGGCAGTTGTTGAGATGTGAGACTCCCATAAATTCTTTTTCAACAAAATTTAGAAAATAACTCTTCTTGGGTTGCAAAGTAAACATGGGTTTGACAAAAAGATTTATTCGTATGACGTTTCGACGTCTTCGTCTACTTAGCAAGCTCGTGTTGGTTTAACAATCCAAGAAGGAAATGATTGTTACTATCGAGGTTAAGTAATGGCCGGCATAAAAACCAAACCAAAACCAAAAACTCTTTCAATGAATTTTTATCCAAGTAAAAGATAGACATTAAACTTCATTGAACGAGCCACTTAGAAGGCGATTGTTGAACTTTTTCTCTAAGTACTGTGAACGATATAGTGGAACATTGGTGTAAAACAATCAATGGGGTCTCGTCGACAATAAAAGCGAGCATCGGTAAGTTAGAAAAAGCCATTCTATGTAAGCGCGATAGCTGCTCTATTGTCAAATCTAGTAGTTTTCACAACATGTTGGATAGATAATTGGAAGTCCTTCGACGTTGAAGTCAAAATACCTCATTGCCGGAAACGCCCCGAAACAGTATAGCAAAGCCAATACACTAAGCTATAGTGCTTTAAATTCCTGCCCTGCTTTGTAAAAAATGACTCGTTCAATTCATTCTATGAGCAAAAAGACGATAGCTGGATGATTCAAAAGAAGAAAAGCCACATATTCATACTTCTCATGGCATCCCGGACATTTAGCTCTTGTATATCTGAGATCTGTATTTATTGCATGACGAATAAACACTAACAACTTATGTATTCTTTCTTGATAAGCTTGCACGAGGTTGATAAATATATTTATTTTCGGCTAACGTTTCGACGTCTTCGTCTTCCTCAGAGCCGATGATCCGAGTCGATGGTCCATGATTGTTGTTCGTCTCGACATTGCAGCTTAGCCTTTGTGTCGAGCCAGGTCTTCCTCAGTGAGCCATCCTCTCGAATGAGGCATCCTTACTCAGTGATGCCCTTTTATAGACGATGCTGATGGTCTATGTATAGTGATAATGTCCGGTGGTAACAACTTGTATTTCTTCCGGGCATACATCATTGCACACATCGTGCAGAAGTTGGTGTTTTTATCAGCTAGCACAAACCGTAGTAATATTTCGAAACCGACTTTCTCTAAACCTCGGTGTGACTAATCAATATGTATTCTTTCTTGATAAGCTTGCGCGAGGTTGATAATGATGTTTATTTTCGGCTAACGTTTCGACGTCTTCGTCTTCCTCAGAGCCGATGATCCGAGTCGATGGTCCATGATTGTTGTTCGTCTCGACGTTGCAGCTTCGCCTTCGTGTCGAACCAGGTCTTCCTCAGTGAGCCATCTTCTCGAATGAGCCACCCTCATGAAATACTAACAACTTACCTTATAGCAGTTATTGTGTTTATGATTGTAAGAGGCCAACGTCAAAATACCACCGTATCCCACTTCCATGGTGTAGCATATTTGAACTAATGCTGTTATCCATGTCTGGAAGTTATTTTATAGGTAATTAGTCTAAATATGGTAGTTTTTCACACACTACCTGAGTATCGTGGAGAAAAATTTGTGCTAGAATACTAGGGTATTCATCAGCGCCATTCTCACCTCAGGGTCAAACATCTTGTCAAAATCCGGTTTGCCCAGAAAATGGGAAACACCATCACTAGCACCTTCAAGAGTGACTGCACGAATCAAGAGAATTGTGACGATGATATAAGGAGCTATCGATGTTACCTAAAAATGAAATTACTGTACATTTAAGAACGTCACTTTAATCAAAGCATCATAATCGTGTTACTTACGTATCCCATCTTTCCCAGAAACTTAAAGCCGTCCATCAATACAAAGAAGTTCATGAGGTACAACGCAATTATTGAGGATAAAGTGATCCAGTTCATTGCTCCGATGTCATCAACACCTGTGGATCGTTTTGAGCAAACGTTTCTTAAATATTCTAATATTACTGCTATTTGAAATAATCAAGTTCACACAAAAAGCTGAAGAGAAAATTAGGTAAATGGTTCTTGTTTCACCTTTGTACTCTAAGCAAATTCAGCCATCCCACTCTTTTTCAGCGGTAGTTGAAGACATGTGACGCTCTTACGAGCTTATCTACTTGATTCCGCAATATCTACAGCTTTCTAGTATAAACTCAAGAGATGAGCAACCCATAGCAAGGTGAATGACTTGACTAAAGCTATGCTACACAGTCACAGTTGCTGAATTTCCATTTCTCACCTGCTCAGATTTCTTTTAGCTTAAAATCGTAGTTTTCATAGCAATTGAACTCCGCAGTTCCAAAAACTCTACATCGTCTATTCTACTTAGAAATGAATTAACTCAAGAGTAAAGCACTTAGATTAGTGAGAAGGATGCCATGCGTACGGATGTCACAATATCCACAATTGACGTGTTTAGGCTAGCACGGTCAAGAATGGCTTGCCATCGAAAAGGATGCCCATCGAATGAGTTCTGCTTCCTGTTAGTTTTGATTTTAGTTTTCCTTTGAGTCTTTTTCCAGTTCTTCTTTATTTAATTTCGTTTAGTAGTAATAGAAGTAAGGGCTTCCACCTATTGTATGAATCACAACTACAAACTCACACAAAGTACTGATTAAATGGGGACATCATTCTTTTCACCACTTCATTCGTTTCCGATATGCATGTACCGTTGAAGAAAATGGGAAGCGAAGCATTTAGAAGTCTACATTTATCCATTTCGTACTCATTGAAGCAATCTGAATTTCCTTTGCTGTGGTAAGCATAATGTGCCAGAAAATTTTAAGCAATGTAAATGCATAGTCCACTGTTTCCTTAATGAGCTAAGACGAGCTTGTTATTAAAGCATTTATTCATTCACAATGGCCGAAATCTAGGCGGTTTCGACTTCTTCAGAGCCTGCAACGATCAACTTACCACAAATTCCACTCAACCAAACACTGTCATAACCTCAGCAGCTAAGACTTAATGCATGAACGTTCATTTATGAACATTTATGTTTGTGTGTTTATGTAAGCACAATAAGTTTATGTTATGTTTTATCTACTTGGGTTATGAAAGTGTGTGTGGCTGAGTAGACTGCGTGTCAAATTGAACTTTTCAGCCTTTGAAGCAGGCGAAGATCCCGAAACGTCAGCTATTGTGAATGGATAAATGCTGCAATAGCAACCTCGTGTTTGCGCCGAAGTTACAAGAAAATCTATCCTGGGATTTGTCACATACTTATAGCGTTTATCAAGCGAAAGAAAATGAAATTCCAAATAGTTCCAGAAGTTCACTAAGTACTTGTACTTGAATAACGTTTATTTGCAAATAACATGTTACAGAACAATTTCTGCTCGTTGGGGATTTCCAGGTTCTGTAAGCTCTTCCTTTGCTTTATGCGAACATGAAGAACCGTCCCCATCCCAACAACTCAGACAATCGCTGGCTTTTCAAGTTCGGAAGGAGATTTTTTCTCACTCAAGTGGGTTTTTTCTGGTCTACAACGATCGGCGTGTGTACCGCAGTAGTGGCGCGTGTAGTGTAGTAGTCGCAAGCACCCTGCAATACGAATGGGATCCATCCCGGCGCTCCAGGCTCACCAAGCATTCCATGCCTCCGGGTTTGGCCAATTGATACCAGATATGTCTGAGAGGATGGAAGTACTTGCTCGATACATCGGTAGGCTGCCGCGAATCAATGTAAAGGCCAGATATGCATTCAATCAGCTCCAACGATGATTGATGAAGTCGAACGTAGGGCGCCTCCTTCAGGGATTGATCAACACTGAAAGCTTTATCCTTTATCCTTATCCTGTAATGATAAGTGGCAATTGTTCTATTCCGAGCTAAACTTATATACCGAGATGATAAACTACTGTATTTTAAAAAAAAGCGATAAACAATAGCGGGAAACAAATTTAACCACCACCCACAGAAGTCATTCCAATCATTATCACATTTGATCAGCTTTTTATGGTAGCCAATTGCGTAGAGAACAAAGTAGAACCCACTCCAACCAACAACGACACAATAGTATAGGCAAATACTCATCGACGTAATGGCCATTGTCCAGCCGATTCCTGTAAACGTAGTCTTACCTTATGATTCCACAACTTTGTGGAATAAATGAATGATGCGATGTTAACATGTCATATGTGCTGGCAGTTATTCGCAGTTCATTTACTGACCTTGCAGTGCCGGGATGTAATGTCTAAAGATCATGGAAGGTCCTGTATTTGTGTACTGGCCAACGACCATCTCAAGATACATCATCGGCAATCCGACAAACACAACACATACCAGATAAGGGAACAGAAACGCACCTAAAAGATGTCCAAAATCTAACCTACTAGCTCATTTTCAAGCAAAACTTGAGAAATAACAAGTGGATAAGAGCAGACGGACGCTAAAAAGCCACGTCTAGCCAGAAGGCTACGAGTAGCCAGGAGTGCAGCTGTGGATCTTCAAGTGTTTGTTAACAGGTGGTACGTATTTATAGATGTTACTATATGCACGCGAAAAAAGTTTTCATACCACAACATTTTACAAGCGAAAACTGGGTGCTGCTCTTTCTTTTTGAATTTCCGGTAAAAATAAGTCAGTGTCTTAATATTAGTGTAGAATCTAGGTGCGCGGGTAGTGCAGTGGTCGCAGGTGCCCTGCAGTACACATGGAGTCGATCCCTGCGCTCAAGGCTCACCAAGCCTTCCATCCTTCGGAGGTCTGCAAATTGGTACCAGATTTGTCTGCGAGGATACCAGCGCCGACCCAATACATTGGTAGGCCACCGCGAGGTTAGATATGCAGGTTTTAAGGTCATTTATTGCAAAGGTCAGATATGCATTGAATTCCCTCCAACGATGCTTAATGAAGTCGAATGCATGGCGCGTCTCTGAGGGATTGATCAACACCGAAGGATTTATCCTTTATCCTTTATAGAATCTACCTAAGCAAAATGGATTAAATTTCTTCGGCTTTAGCCGCTTTCTAAACGGTGTTCTGCGTGACATTAATGAAACTCTGTTTCCTCACTTCCTCCATTGTCATAAGCCAACGTCGGAAATCGCCAAATACTTCCTAGTCCAACAGTGAGTCCCACGACGGAAAGGCGAAATTCCGTTTCATTGTCCCAGTTTCCACGCTTCAAATTCGAATATTCTGAAATCGGTTGCTCATCAGCAAAGCTTCGTAAAGTTGCTGATATAATACAATGCAAAGAGAAGGAAATGTTGTGAAAAAGTAACAAAAGAACGATATGTGTAGGTTTAGGCTGCAATTTTGCACTGGCAGATGTTCTCGCGACAGATATAAGGTAGCGATTCTATATGATCTCAGCTAACTGGCACCAGTCCCTTTTGCGGAAAATAAAATGCCTGTCTGTTCATCGACTGAATCACTCAAATGTAGACGAAATCGGCATCATGTCTTATAAAATAAAGATTACACTAATCCTATTAAAGTCATAAGTTTAGTCAACCATTGGCTTTGATGGTTTGAATTTCAGAGGATACATTTCCCACTGATTACTATCAGATCTCCTAGTTCAACTAGCCCAGTCCAAGTTGTTCTCCTTATTGTGAACGTTTAACCAATGAGGAAGCAACAACACCTTCTTTTGTTCATGTTACCATCCAATTTCAATCTATTCGTACTAACCTTTCGTACTTGATGTCTCCCTAAAATATAAACATCGCACAGCCTTGAGTAGATTACTAGGTCATTAAGAGGTTCCTATTTATGCTGCTCGAAAAACTGTATACAACTGTATACTTACGTCATACCATTACAGGACTGAATTCTCTAAGGAAAGTCCTTAAATGCTCTATAACAACTCCTGTAGCCTAGGGGACTGTGTAAATAGAAATGAGACTCACTTTATTTTGAAATGCTTATATAGTATTATGTGATTATCAAATATTAACTGATATCGGCAAAAGCCGAATAGACGACTTACCTACAGTAGACAGTAAATTTATTTTGTTCTCATTTACAAACAACACTTCTTCGATAACACTGCTTCTACGTTATATCAAATTCTCACCACCTTCTGAACGACTTGACATCCTCTCACCTTTCTAGCTTATCCCACTGTAAGTTCCTTTTCTTGAAATCGCGTATCTAATTGAAGTCATTTTGAGCTTTCGCTCTAATTTTTACTAAGCACATCAAAGATTTTACGAATCTTCATTTCACTGTTGTGGCAGCTAGCTAGCTCACTGGCACAGATGTTGATGAATTCACGCAATGTCCTGATTCAACTGATTCAATGCGAACCAGGCCTATCAAGCTTTCTACTTCACCTGGGCCGAGGAAATTGGTGCTAGACTTATCTCGGACGAGCTCTTTCCTATTCTAAAAAACTGACGAGGGCTTGTTATAGACCTGAGAACGACACTTCGCACTGCTACCCTATTATTTCAAGAATCTACCCGGTTAGCAATGAACCACATTTGTAAAAAAGACCAAAAATGCTAGCGCAAGAGTCGAACCCACGCTTAACAACGAAGACCTTCTGGATCATGGCTGCCAGAGATCGAGTTCAATGCTGAATGTGCTGGGTTTCGCACAACGTGATACGCGATATCGGGTCCTGTATGAGAGGTTGTCAGTATTATGGAGGATTTCGCTTCAAAACGGTAGTGAGGACCGAACTGACAACCGACCACGAATATGATGAGTGTTGACGATGTAATCATATTAACCTTAAAACTCGTTTGGTAAAGGAATACCAACTCTTTCGACAAACAAATAAACATATTCGTGCACCAATACCAGGACACACCACCGTCCTGGTGTCAAACTAGTCCCATGGCAGCAAATTTCGCTCCGATCCACAACGGCGGCGATCGCCTGTGGTGGTGACGACTTGGGCTAGGCTGACCTCGGGGCTCCAGGGAACTACAATAGCTAAACCAGCAAATCTCCGGAGAATGGAAATTATGCTGGTGCCCATAAAACCAGTGAAGACGGGCCATCCAAGTAATCCACTACGTACCCTATTTTTATACTGATGAGCAGCCACATTATATTAGGCGTAGACACGCATGTAGTGAAAAGAATGAAGCAGAAGAATGTCGGGAATACGGTTGTTAACATATACATAAAAATTCGTTTACCGACAAATATAAAACATTCCATGTCTCATTAAACAAAATTCGTGCTTAGAACACAATTCAATAAACAGATATAAATAGTGTCATGAGATATTACAATGTATGTAAAGGTCACAACCTAAAATATACTGAAAATATTTCGCTTGACAGATGAGTAACTAGTTAGTGTTGAGTCAGCTATTTTTCATAATCACAGATAAGCAGTAAATAAATCACAAATATCTTAAATAAGCAGTGAAACGAATAAGTGAAATGAGATGAAGCCGGCGCAGGGCAAGCTGCCGAATAACATCTTCGAAAACAACGAGAAGAGCTCGCCATTAAGAATATGGGACGCGGAAGCGTCGAAAGACGAAAGGATAAGTTAAGTATAAGTATTGCGAACCAAAACAGAGGATTTCTGTTGATGAAAAACAAAATGCAATCGAAATGCACGAGATGTCAAGATATTGAAATTGAATAAAAAAGTTGTACGATGAAGTTTAGCAAATCTACGATGATTTTCTAAGAACTTTCATGTTTTGTGGTCAAAACACTTGAAACGTTTCTCTTATTGCTCCTCCTCTATAGTTGCCTTCCAGCACTCGGCACCCATACATAGGGGCGTGCCTCGGTAGCAATGACGTGTTGGACACGACCAAGCACTTCTTCCGCCGATTGTCCGTGTGAAACTACGTCTACAAAACAATATGTAGTAAAGAAAAAACAGTGATGACAAACACAATGGCAAAAAAAGACGTGTTCCTCATCAATCAGAAGTTTAATAGTATTAAACATCACTTGTCGCGTTAAGGATTTTAGGCATCGCAAAGTCGAAGTGCAAACCCTGATGACATAGATTCTAATATTAATGCAATGACTATGCTATGTTTTTGGGAAGACGCTTCAGTCTTCAACATCAAGAGCTGGAACATGTGATAGAAGAAAATTTTCAAGTTTAGTATATTTGCTGGAGGTCAAAGTTATCAGAAAAATTTCAGAGCAAGCGAAAAAAAAACGTTTTGTGCTTCTTGAGAAGGTCCACCACGTGTATCCGTCCGTTGTCGCCCTGTTGATCGTCGAGTGACTCGAGCGGGCGGCAATAAATCCTCCATTTTCCCTGTCGCGTGCAAGAGTAGCCCAGTGGGTCTTGCTCACTCCAAGGACTGGTCGAGCATCATATCTTTCTTCAATGCTCTTTGTGAAGAACTCTGACCATCGGGTCGGTGGTCTTCCTGCAGTACGTTAGACATCCCGAGAAATTCAGTCACTAACGGCTCTTGTTCATCGGTTGTCATTCATACGCATTACGTGTCCAGCGCATCTTACCTTGAACAGTTTGGTGTCAGAAACGGCATCGTTGATTTTTGATCGTTGACGTAAGTCGGAGCTTTAGATCTCTTCCCTCACTTGTGTAACACGGGATACTATTACTATAGTCCTTTCGACTTCGCGTTCAATAACGATGAGTAATTTTTCATCCTACCTACGTAGCGACCAGTTCTATGAAACATACGTTAAGACAGCAAGTACCATTGAGTAGAAAAGGTGGGCACGACGTAGGATGAACTTGGTTCTTTTCACTATATCCTGGATGCTCTTGAAAGCTCCCCAAGCCGTTTGTTTCCTTCTACTCATTTGTAGAGCTAGGTCGCTCGTTCATCATGTTGGTTTCCTGATCTAGATAGAGGAAAATGGAGCATTCGGAGATATTCATTTCCTTGAGTGTAAAGGGAACATACGTAACCAGTCCGTTTCTTAAGAACATCGTTTTTGTGAGATTCAATCGAGGTCTCGAAGATCAATTTTCCTATAGGCTTCAACAAAGTCGGCAAGCATTCGCTTTTCTTGGCTAATGTTTGGTGTTATAAGAACGGAGGCATCCTGTAAGCGAAAATGGTGTGGATGCCGACCATCGATTTCCACTCCCATGTTGTCCCATTAAGGTCGATCTAGATGAAAATGGGAAATTGCACAATGGAACGATTAATATGACAAAATAAAACATAATTATATATGACAAAGTTGGAATCAGAACTATCCAAAAGACACGCCTCAACTAGTAAATGTATAAAGCAGATGGTTCCAGAAAACTAAGTCGCAGTGCAACCAAAACCATACAAACAATACTTACGTGTGAACAGATCACCAAACGTTTGCTCTAATCGCTGACACCGCTGGAATTGTTGCATGGCCTCCTCTTCGTTCATTGTATGGTCCAATTGCCTGAAGTGTTAATAGTGCGTTGTTGCGAGGAATGAATAAAAAAATAGAATAAACTGAATATGCACATTATATGATGATGACTGGAGGGCTTAATGAATATTGCAATAGGATAAATATTAGCCACTGATTGAAGGCGACGGATCGCGTTACCGCTCACATCCAAAATACAGTGCCGGCCCTAAAAGGTGAACTAAAGATTTCACCCATAAATATAACAAAAGGAAATCGTACTTGTTGAGCGACGACTCGTACGCTATCAATGCTGGTTCCATAAAGATTATTCTGGAACTGGCCCGCTTCGATGAAAAGATTGTTCTTCACATCGTGCTCCATTTGAGCTTTGGAAACAAAGTGATAATCTCGGCCATCAATCTCGTGTTCTCGCGGAGGTCTTGAAGTATCTGAAACATTTCGGTGTCTCAGGATAAACGGCGTAACCTCAAATCACACCGAAACTGCACAAAAACTGAAACTGTGATAAACCATGAAAGTGAAGAAATGAAGGAAAGAAGGTGAAATATAGACTAATATGACTTACGAGGAACACAGCTACTGAAGCGATCAGGATTTCTGGTAACCAGCTCATCGTTGATTCTGTCCTTTAGCGCTCCAAGAATTATTACTGGCCGCACATAATTTACTGCAAAAAGCAGTTCTACAGCAGTGAAAACTCAACTCTTAAGAGAATTACAAAACTGTACGGAATTGAACGACAAGGAAATCAATACACAAACTAACACTGTTGTTGCTCTACAACTTGATATGAGAAGATGGGATCTTCGCTTACACCAACTGAAAAGAAAATCATGAAGGGAGAAAACCGAACAGTAAGTTTTATCTTGTTAGGAAACACACAGTTTTAGGCACGCTGAACTCTATATA